GAGGGTTGGGGTGCATTGGGGCGACAGAAGACTTGATAATGGTTGACAAAAACTTGAACACGTTTCTACTTCTTTAAAATACAGTATATTTTGATTGTTTTTGAGACTTTCTGCGTTGGCAGGCAGGACCGGAAAGTTCGCTGGAATTGGCAACCCTCGGGAATTCAAAAAACCAAATAGTCTAAATATTCCGCCAATTATAAAAGTTCAAAATATTAAGGATATTTATACAATTCAAATTGAATTTAATTTTTTGAAAATACTAAATGTTTGGCTTATTTTCAGAAGATCAAAATATTTAAACTATTGAGCTCAAACGGGTTGCCAATTCCAGAAACCGATTCAATATTTAAGACATTTAACACATTTAGTTCAATTTTTTACAATATCTAAAATATTTTTCATAGGCTGAATATTTTAAATGTCTAAAATATTGAATGAAATGGAAATTAATGTGAACATTCAATTTTTAAATGTTTTATACTAAATTGATTCCTTGAATTGGCAAACCTCTTGAATTCAATGTTTAAAATATTTTAGATATTCCGCCTGTATTTAAAAATATTTAGGTAAAATTTGAAATTAGTGTCTTAGATATTTTACATATGTCGCCTACTAAAAAATGTTTTGAATATTTATACTATTGAATTCAATCGGGTTGCCAATTCCAGGAATCAATCTAATATTTCAAACATTTAGACAATTTATTTCAAATTTTGTAAAACACAAATTACAATCTTAATTCAAATATATTTTTTTGCCTGAACATTTACAGAATTTAATCCAAATTTTGGCTTAATGTTTTAATTCTGAATGTTTAACCGAATTGGCCGCCCTCTTGAATTCAATATTTTAGATATTTTAAATATTCCGCCAATCAACAGTTTAAATATTTTAAAATAGAGTTTAATGTTAACCATTTATAATTTATGACTGTTCAAAGTTAAGAGACTAAGATTAAACTTAATGTTTGACTTTTTTGATTGTTCCGCCTATGAAAAATGTTTGAAATATTTGTGCATTCAAAGGGATTGCCAATTCCAGGAATCAATTTAATATTCAATTTTTTACAACATTTCATTCGATTTTTATCAAACAGTTTAACTTGTTTAAATCTTTTCCAATAGGCAAAATATTTCAGTTATTTCCAAAATACAATTCAATTGACAACCCAATAGGCTGAATGCTTTAATCAAAATTCAATTTACTGGTTTCAATGTTTTAAACGGTTTAAAGATTAAATTGGTTCCGTGAATTTGCATTTCATTATAATATGTCAAAAACTGCAACTTTGGAACTTTTGTGCTTTTTGGAGGGGGGACCAAAGTTCCAAAGTTCCAAAGATCAAAAACTGCACAAACCCATGTCACCGGAATGGCTATGGCCAGGTCATGGGGTCTGCAGTTTTGGAGTTTTGGAACTTTGGAGGGCCTCCAAAGTTCCAAAACTCCAGAACTGCACAGACCTATGTCCCCGAGTGGCCATGGTCAGGTCATCAGTTTTGGAGTTTTGGAGTTTTAGCGTTTTGGAACTTTGGAGGCCTTCCAAAGTTCCAAAACTCATAAAGTGCACAGACCTATGTCCCCATGGTCAGGTCATGGGGTCTGCAGCTTTGGAGTTTTGAAGCTGTGGTTTTCTATAAGAAATACGCATAAAACACTGCAAACAGTAAATTTGATGAACGGGTGTTTCCTTTTTTTTGGGGGGTACAATATATACATGTATAACTGTATGTTTGTATGCATGCATGTATGTATGTATGTATGCACGTATTCAAAAGTAATGGTATGGCATGGTATGGTATGGTATGTAATGTAATGTATGTACGAATGTATGAATGTATTCTGGCGCTGGACAAGGTCCCCATTGATCAGAGCCACATTGACAAGGGCTGTGTCAGTGAGAGGTGACTTGTCGTAAGCACATCGAAGCATGTCTAGACCCCAGCCCTGCAGGTGCTGTTGATGCTGCTGCAGCAATGGCGGCAAGACCTCATCATGCCTTGGATAAAGGGCAAAGCCACTTCCTGCATGCTCAGTCCGGGGGATCTGTTTCAGACTACGCAAAAGATTCTCAGCTCATTGAGCTTGATTGATATAAACGCCTCCTGGGCACAACTGCTCCTTGGCAAACCTGAAGTTTTTGGTGTCACGCCCACTCGCGACCCGCAGCGGCGCGCGCGTTTGGTGGAAATCATATTTCGGTTGTTGGGGGGGTGGGGGGGGGTTCAGTTACGTCGTTCAGTTACGTCGTTCACGGAACGTTGTCACGGAAACCAGCGGGTTCAGTTACGTCGATACGTCGTCGTCGATACGTCGATAGCACCGCAGTTTTGGCAGCTCAATGCGTTCGTTGTCCCTTCGTTGTTGTGTCCTTGTAACCTGAGTTGCGCGAAGAAAAGTCAGTTTGCAACTTTTTGGGGGTTGGACAAAAACGTACACTTGTAAATCCCCTTAGAATTGCAGATCAACGTCCAAAAAAAGGGGGGAATTGTGGAGCGAAATGAACATGCGAACATATGGGACAACATTGAAAACATTGTGAAGGACCATGGATGCATTTCAAATGACCTGAGTGCTGTGTGCACGACTACGCGGGTCACTCGGGGTCGTGTTACCAAGTTTTTGACCCCTTCGCCACCACTGCTGCTAGTCGAGGTCCAGCTCCCATCGCTAGTGGTGGTCCAGCTACTTTCACTGCTACCACCGTCAGTGGAACAGGACCATCCTCTTCAGATGGTCTTGCCACCAAAGGTTTTGAAGGGCCAAACAATGGCAAATACTAGATCCGTGAACCGCTGAGGCTTCGGAAGACAGGGAAAAGCTCAGGGCATTGCTTCGCAAGGCAAAGCGGGATGCTGACAGCTTTGGGGGTTTAGGATACTTGTTGAAGGCCTTTTTCCCTCTCCTGCATAGCCAGAGTGTATAGGTAGATCACCGGGGACCGAACGATTTCGCCGATCCCGGCGGATTCTCGGGGTCGCCCTCCGATGCCCACCTTCGCAGACGGTGCACGCTGCTCCTGACGGCAAGTCGTGGCGACGAGAAGGTTACGACATGCGAGTTGAGCAACGACTCCTGGGGCTCAGCTGAAGGTCTATGAGATTCAACCATGTGCTTTAGTCATGGCATGTCTCCAAGATAGGTTAATTTAGACAACCCACTCGCTCAGTTTTGCTGCTGGCCGTCTTTTCTTGTTTGCACTATAACTGGAAACTGTAGGCTGGTGAGGCGCTCTAGGTATAGAATACAGACGCAAAGGCACGGCGTAAGCCAGCCCCCAAACCGTCACACCCTCCACGCCTGCCACTTTGCATCAACCTTTTCGGTGCGACTCGAACAGAAGCTGCCACAACGACCACAGGACTCTGAAGATCAAGATATCGTAAGAGTTTTGGTTTGCTTTTGTTATGCATGATCCATGAAAAATCCAGGGGGCTCGAGCATTGTGATCTACCATGTATTGCAACCAGCTTGGAATTCCACTTGCTGATGGGAAGGGTCTCACTTGTGATGGGTGCCCCTCACTTATATACCATACTGCATATATATATATATATTTGTCATATATACATATTGATGTATATATGTATTAAAAAACAGTTGCATATATACATACATATATACATATATATACCTGGACTTTCCACGGGTGTGTTTTGTCTGCCGTTTGGCGAAGCAGCACAAATTTCAGTCGTTTGCCGTAAAAAACGCCGTTTCATCTCAAAAGTGACGTTTCGATGTTTTTTTACAGAGGTTACCAAACTAGCAGTTGGCAAAAGTCGCCGTTTGGTCGGGAAAAGTCGCCGTTTGGTCGGGAAAAGTCGCCGTATCAAAACCTTAACATACCATCGAAAACATGTCAATGCAAAAAGTGCTTCAGTACAAAAATAGTTGGCGTTTGCTTGAAAAAACAGTTTTGATAGAAAAGGCGGAAAAAATGCATACTTATGAAGACCCAGGTATATACACACATATATATATATATACATGCGTGCACTGAACCCCCAAATCACCCCAATGTGTGGGCGAATGTGGCATACATGGAGTGTCTGAGGTCGTTTTTGCGGTCGCTGCGCGGCTTTGTCGTTGTGCCGGGCCACATTTGAGTTGTGCCTGTCGGTCAAGCAGCTGTGCTGTAATGTGTTTAGGACCAGTGCCCATGTTGGAGAAGCAGCTTTGACTTTGACAATGCCACTGGTGTTTGGCTGAGCGAGAGTAGGTGTTGGTCTCGGACTTTCTATTTTCAACCCAGCAACCATGAGGTCTATAATTTTTGCAACCTGCCGCTGCCAGGGGTCGTGTGTTCTTGCGCTACCCAGCGGTGTCAAACAAACCTGCCAAGTCTCGGCCTTTCAAAGTGCTACTGTTGGATGTTCTTCTCCAGTGGGCATGTGGAACCAGAGAAGGTCCGTGTGCCAAACCACTCTGGCCGTACATGCGATATCGGAACTGCTTGCAAGCAGTGCCTGGAATTTGCAAGGTGTTACAGTGACTGTTACAACATGCCTGTAATGCCATCCCTGCTGATCTGGGTAGATGTGATTTTTTCTCAGAACAGGGACCCCCAACCAATGGTTTTCATTCTTCCACGGAGTCTTGGTGGCCTACTTCAATACAGACTCGTCTACAAAAACTGCAGGTTCAGGTGGATTCTTTTCTGACTGAACTCGCAAGAGAGATTCCTTTGGATCCATACCCTCATTCCCTGCTAAGCACAAATCAGTTGTTTTCAAGATAAAGCGACCCACCTTCGCCCATCTTTCGGTCCACCAGGCCGACGCTACCCACGGTTGATTGCGTGGTCGATTTTTCCGGGTAGTTGTTGACCGAATGGGTACGTGTCCGGCAAAACATGCTGAACTGAAACAACAGGAACTACGTGAAGGTGGATTACAGGGCTACTGAGAAACTATATCATTTGGATCTCCGGAACTCATGCGCCCTCTCCCCGATATTGTTTGACTAAGCTTGCGAACCAACTCGCCACGCTCGACACAGGCACCAGCTTGGTGGCGGCCTGCTCCGGTGTCGTGAGCACTGCCGCGACTTGATTTTCGGGTGGGCCAAGGACACAGGCCAACAAGCGGACAGGTTCCAGCCCATGATGGTGTGGTTTTGGATTTGGGACGTTGTTTTGGTCAATTTGGGATGGAATTGTTTTGGGCGTTTGTGTTTGGAAATAGATTGGGCAATCCTCTCAAATGTTGTTGCAACTTGGCGCAGTGGCAGGTGGTTCAGTCGGGTTCCAAAAACTGTGGACCGTTCAGGCAAAATCCTCATGAATCCACACAGTTTGAGGTCTGACACTGGTGTATCAGCCTTCCACGGCTTTCGGGATGGCTGACCATGATCCAAGCGAGGAGGACAACCTTGATTCTCTGAACCCAAGACTTTCAAGGCATGTTTGTTGATCAAGGATTGTAAAATACCATGACCCTCCTTGTTTTTTTGCAACTCCACCTATACTCGCAAGATCTTCCTTCCTCCCTCCCCTTCCCTTCCCTTCCCTGCCCTGCCCTGCCCTGCCCTTCCCTTACCACGCCCTCTTCGCTCCCTTCGCTCCTCCCCACGCGCTTCAGCTCCATGGGGCGCCCCGCAACGCGCGCTCTGACCCCTCCTGCGCTCCTGCGCTCCGCACGCCCCGCGAAAAACCCCCGCGGCCCGCGGTCGGCAGAGGTCATGGCGCGGCTCTTGCAGCTGCCGGGTGCCTTGGGGCGCCCGAGCATCGGGCGCTACTGCACGGCGCCGCTGGCGCTGGCCGTGGCCGGGAACCTGGACGCCTCGCCGCCGCTCACGGTGGCCATGGCGACTCGTCGCGAACAGAGGAGAGGTTTCAGGAGCTGCTGTGTTTGGGGCTGAGTAGGACCCAGCGGCCTAGAAGCCTAGCTGTAGTGAGTGAAGATATGTGAAGACCATCTGGAGTTAGCCCCAGATCTCCGCAAATATCATTTTGGTGGTAGGGCCAGTTCCTCAACTAAAGACCCTCCAATCCTGGAACTCCTCTCTAATGACAAATTGGAAAAGGTTTCTACACGGCAGTCCGCTGTGTTCCTGCAGAAAACCCTTTGATGTTCGCACAAAGATAACAAAAGACTCTTCAGAAATGCAAAAAACACTTATGATTCACTTATGATTTCTTCCTTGTTGGAATCCACCTCACCGCCTCCATTTTTCAACCGGTATCAGTAAATCCTCCCACAGATTCCCCCGGCCGTGACGTCCGGTGACGCACGGGGTGTGAGGCCTCGTCCTCGTTTCGCCGCCGAGGTGGTGGCTTCAGGCTTCGTGGGCATCTTCGCAGCGAAGCCGCTGCTGGCACGGCTGAGGGTGAAGCAGAGCCGGGAACGGGGCCTGGCCATTGGGGCAGTGTCTGGGCCCAATTCCAACGGGTGTCTGGGATATAGGGAGACCACCTCCAGGTAAATGACCCCTGGAAGAAGGAAGATAGACCCGTCAGTTGGGGGTCTCCCATCAAATTGCACACACACACGCACGAACCCATTTGTTCCTCTAGGTTTGCAACGACCTTTTCCGACCAGGACCAGGAGCATGCAACAAAAATTCACCCGTCGGCTTCCCCCCCGTTGTTCCACTCCAGGCCTCACCAGACACTCTCAGAATCAGAGAAAACCCAGCCCAGGACCATCCTTCCTGGTCCAATGGGTGTCCTGTCTGGACGATACCCAGCCCAATACTTGTCCAGACAGGACACCAAGTCAGACAGGATGGTCCAGGTCACTGCACTGAAATGACTAGTGGACTGGGTCGTTTCAACTAGACCTCCCTTTGGTGTCCTTTTATCCTCTTAGACCCGGAGAGCCCCTTTGGTTCAGAAGCGTTTTACATGGTTTTACGATGTTTTACTCTATATACAAAGCCCTATTCTTAGGTCCTAAAGGTCAAACCCTTCAACCCCTCCAAAAGGATCGAAGCACCGGACCGGAAAACCGCTCCTTCAGCGCTACGGTCCCCAACCACCGAGGTCTCTCACGTGCTTGGGACGGTCTCCTTGGCCTCCTGGGACGAAGCAGCAGTGCCCTACAGCGCTTTATGCTTCGCGCCTCGGGTCGAAGCGAGCGACAAGGTGAAAGGGTGCGGGGAGGCGGCTGAAGCCGCGTGCCTCCCAGCGACCGAGGTCCTGGCCAGCGGGAGCACCGCTGCTTTGACCGCGCTGCCGCCGGTGCAAGCGCTGCTCCTGTGGATTTTGCCCGCGTGAGGAGTTGTGCAGAGGAGTTGTCTCAAGCGACGCCCTGAGAAGAGCAAGATGTCAAACAAGTGTCATTACAATGGATATCATGTTCCTCAGTACTTTTCAATTTGGCCCAAGCTCCAGACAATCCTGAGCATTTCTGTTCCAATGGTTGGGTTGTAAAAACCATTGGATAGAATCGTGTTTGGCAAGTGCTTGGACGGAAATAGCATTGCACACACACACACAACATGTTGAAGCGATCAAGCTTCACATATAAGGATTCTAGTACCAGTAGCAGTTGGTACTGTACAATAATGTAACTCCATCACTCTTAACGCTCATCGGTCCCTCATAGCCATTCACTGTGAGTGGCTATGTACCCAAAGATCTATTGGTTTCATCGGTTTCATCGCTCTGTGGGTTCAATCGAAACCACAAAGACTGCATGGTGAAAGAACGTATCGTAGAAGCATACATCACGTGCTTTGGGTACAACGGCACAGCCATCCAAACACTTTTTTATACCGCGACACACTCTTCAGAGTCGCTACAAAAAAAGCGGAAAGAGTGACTTGAACGGCAAAGCAACAGCAGCTGGAAGGTCATTGTCTATAGGGACTTGCTATGAAAGACTTATCATCCTTTTCCTTGGGCCGTTTTGAAGGTCCACATGTCGCTGGGTGTCGGACGATCCGTCTCACCGACCCGCGTCCTGGGCATGCTAAAGCTGCTAAGCCCCCGTTGGACGAGGAGCCCGTCGCATCGGGCGTCGATTTTCCGGACTTGAGCATCCGAGACTCCGAAGGGATGGCAACAAGAAGGGAACGTATGGAAGGTGTAGAAAGCAAGCCCAGCCTTCAAAGACCATAACTATCCCATAAATAAAAAAGAATAGTTGACCTGGTGTTGTAGTCTAACATCCTTAGCAAAGCAAAGGCTGCTTTGGTAATAACCATGAAAACAATGTTGTTGGAATCCCAGGCAAGGACTCTTTTTTGGCCGTCTTGGGTTTCTGGCCTGCAATGATTGCGGGGTTGTTCCTCAACGTTACCCCGTGTTTGAGGAACTCCTGGCTTGAACAAACCATCCTCCTAACACCTTTCGACGAAGAAGAAGGGATAGTGAAGTTCCCATGTGTCAACCGCCATCCCTACTTGGCAAGTTTTCTTGGTTCTGCCCAAGCTTGACCGAGATTGTTTAGGGTATTTTGTTATATATATATAATAGAAAAGCCAGCACCAACCACAAGCAGGATGCCGAACGCCGTGAGTCTTGCGCCGTGAGACGTGATGAAGTGCCAAAACGGTGGATTCCTCTCAGGGTTGGGAGGGCTTGTGGGGAGGGAGGACCACGAATGACTACCAGTGGATCCATGTGGATCCCAGGCAGCCCATGAAAAAGGGACCAGGGGCTCTCAGTCGGTCTACGGTTTAAGTCTTTGGAACCGCTGGCGACTCTACGAACTAGTGGTCTGCCTTTATGCCCTAACCTATGAGATAAGCCGCTAGCCGTGACGGGTTTTCGATGGCATGAACCATACGTTCACACCCCCACGTCACAGGTTCGGCTCCGCGTGTTCCCCCCAGGGCGTCCATGCGACCCGCACGGGGAGACCTGAGGATCGCTCGAAGCCGCTCTTCGAAGACTTCTTGAAGAAGCGCGGTCTCTGGGCGCAGACGGACGGGGCGAGGGTGTGTGTGTTTGAGGGAGATCTCTAGCAGTTTGGACACGTTGCTTCTAGGGAGTCCATTGGAGATCCGGAATCCCAAAAGTTACTGACTGCGCATGAGAGAAGCAGCACATGAACAAGCTCGCTGACCGAACACGCCAGCTAAATAGAAGATGCAGCAAGGTGAGTTGCTAAAAATCAGGTAGATGATGGCTGCAGAATTCGTGAGAATGTCCCTCAAAAGTGCCCGGAGCAAACACTTTTTGAACTCTGATTGCGGAACGGGGAGGAGTTTTGTTCGCAGGGTATCTCGATTTGACCCTTCAAACATGAAGCAAACAGGTCGGCGAGGCGTGAGGGTTCACGCGTTGATTTCGCCGTTTCTCTCGCCGAAACGGCATCGGTTCGCGGTCAGCCCAGTGACGGGAATCAGGTCATCAGGTTCACAATGCCAGTCCACTTGGTTTACCAAATGTTGACTGTTGATGAATCAGACGCCCCTAATGACCAGAACGGTTTTGCATCTCCATCTATGGACGGGGGTGGGGTGAATTCATCCACCGTCGACATGACGGGGTGGTGAAAAAACACTCAAAGAACCCCCATCTCCTGACCCTCGCAGCCGGTGGTTCCGGAGGAGGGGAGAGTCCCTGCGCGCTCGCGGCCGCCTTTCGGGGGATTGGGAACCCAGGCATTGAGTTCTGGCCGACGGTGGCCAACTTCATTTTCTGCTACTTTTCGGAGCCAGTGCGCTTGGCCCCTCGGATGGCTTGGAGAAAGCGATTGCGGGAGCGCTTTGCCGGAAGGCGCAGGGTAGACCAACTTGGCCAATTTGTTTGAGGATCTTTGAGGACAAACACAAGGGGTGCAGTGTTCTGGCTGGAGTTGAGATGCATGCTTGCCTTGCTTGATCAGTTCACGTGGCTCCCTCTTTTTGCGGTTTACTTGGCTGGAACGATTCATCGAATTTGCGAGATAACTTCGAATAAGCAGGCCATGTCATGTGCAGCTTGGCCAGTTTTATTATTATCATTATTATTATGGTCAGAATGTCAGCCTCCAAACGAGGACCCTGACCCACAACAAAACCTGAAGGTAGTTGAACACTCGGTGGCAGATGCTTGACAAAGTAATTAGTGAGCTGCCTCACACTCCCACATCATGCAACAGCTTTGAGGAATGTCTATGAATGTCTTATCTAGCAGAGTCGATGCTCAAAAGCAGGGTTGTTTCGAGTTTCGATTTGGAACTCGTGAAGAAGGTTGATGCACAACGTCCTGAAGAAGGTTGATACGGTCTTTTGGACACCCTTGGCCCTCGAAAGTTGACGACCAACCTCCTCCGGATTCCTCCGGTCTCTGAGTCTCTGACGTCCCAGTTTTCAGGAGAGCGCGCTGCGCGAGAGAGGCATCCTGGTGCGTCCCAAGAAGGACCACAAGGGTGTCTTGGGTCTGCGAGTGAGCTTCGGCACCGAGGCACAGATGAAAGAGGCGGGAGGGATGAAGAGGGCGGATGGTTCCGTTCCTAGCGATGGCCTCCCATCGGATCGGCAGAAGCACTGGGGAGTGGGAGCAAGATACATGCCTGCAGGCTGCCTGCAAGCAAAAAAAGAAGAGGGTCACCTAACTATATATATATACTGTATGTACTGTAATCATTTGATATCATTTGTAATATATACATATACACAGTATATAGCTATTTTTGTCTATAAGGAGTTGTTTGAACATGGGAGAGAAGGGTGGTCCTCAAATTATCGTAGTGGAAAGGTACAGAATCAAACACCCATTGGTTGAAGACCTGCTTGGTTCAACCCCCGCCCCCAACAGCTTCAAATGCATCAGTGACATGCCAAACTTTGGGAGGTGAGCTAACAATCCCATCTAGAACACAGCACGACCGGCACGAGCACCAAACTACTCCACATCGTCAATCTACACTCGGAGGATGAAAAAGGAAAGACCCTATACATTCCCTCAAATCATCATGGAAGTGACAAAAAACACCTATTTAGTAGGGGAACATGCTCATCCAAGGGGCCATGTTGATCGATTTTCCACTTCCATGATGATTCCAGGGACTGTTTTTTGTTGTTTTTTTTCAATTTTGCACGGAGTGCCCTCCGGTGCTCGGTCAGGTCATCAAGGCCTTGGAGGAGTTGCTGTGATGGGATTTTCCGCTGCCTCGGGAGCTGTGAACGATCTCACAGAGGTCCGAGGTGCATGGAGCTTTCCATTGAGCTTTGGAAGAGCTTCGCGGATCTTCAAGTCTTTTGCCAAGTGATGCGAGGGAACGGAGCAGCACGATTCAACTGGAAAAGGAGGCGAGTTTGGCATTAATTTTTTGTCAGGCACAGATTCAACAATTGTTGAATGGTGAGTAGCTGTTGATGTTAGTTTCTCATCGGTTTTGATCAAACATGGGGGCACCCTGTCCCGAACCATGTTGACAGAACACCGGGCACGGTGTGCGACACCCTTAGAACGGGTCATGTTTGTCCATTGGATGGCAGTGCCCCAGTGCCCCGGTTGAGGCAAATATCAAACGAGGGATTCCATCACTTTTCGAAGCAGAGAGGATTATTTGGAAACTGGGCTTGAGGCTGGAGGATCACACACAGGGCATTGTTACAAACACCATGGATGTGGAACTCCCCTATTTTCTGCAGAACCTTCGCAGGGGTGCTCTTTTCTTGTCGCGGAGAGACCCGACACCAGAAGTCAGGACGCCACTTGTTCCAAAACGAGGCGCAGGCGACCCACCATCATGTCACTTTTGGATACCTTTGGCTTTTCCCGCACGAACTCGTGGGGCATTGAGAACGCGGCATGGCATTTTGTATGAACGCGACATTTCAGATCAAACTGAATCAAGCCAAACATTTGGACGACAATGTAAGGAATGTGCCATATTATATACTGGTTTAATTTTAGGCGCGAGCACGTGCTATAGCAAGCCTCTCGCAAACAAGCAAAGACAAGTGGTGACAGTCAGTGTGCAAGTCAGAATGCGACCCTTCCAATTTCATCACTTGATCGTTTTTTGAAGTGTGGGTGGGGTACCATAGGGGGCAGGCGGCAGGATCATTTAAACACCCTGTTGGCAAGCTGAATTGAACAGGACATTTACTTGAAGCTCCTCGAGTTTCTTCCCTACCAGAGGCGCATAAACCATTTTTTGTGGCCTTCAGTCTCCGGAAAAATGAGACACACACATACATATATATATATATATAGTCATGCCATAGATGCCATGTGGTCGGCGTGGTTTGGAGTTTCCACTTGACCCATATGGAGCTTCTGCTTGACCGGTACCGACAAAATCTCAACACCTCTCCCAGTGGAGAACTTGAGAGCATGAGAACATCCTTCATTGACCGCCCTCACTCTCCCTTCTACATTTGTCAAAGCCCCAGTCTAAACCCAGACATGGAGTGTGGCAACAAGAAGCTATTAGGAACAAGTGCATCGCTACGTTCGTAACAAGTGCCTGCTCCTAGTAGTAACAAGGTTCGCTATTAGAAACAAGGGCATTGCTACTAGGTAACACCCTCACCCACCGACCGTTCGCACACTGCGTCATGGAGCCGAACACTGCTTCTTCGCCCGAGTGGCACCGAACGGGTGGCCGCTCCGCCGCGCGGAGCGCAGCTGTGCGGCCGGTGAGTTCAACAGCGACATTCAATAGGGCGGGGTTGGGGCAATGTTTGGATGGTTGGTGTATGTTGGTATAATATAATGCCAAAATGGGGGTCCGGCAGGTTCTAGATATAGTAGTTTGAGAGTCTCATTGATCATCAAAGAGATTTCTGTGTGTGGCGCGACTGGGGCTATGGGTTTTCTAGCTAGGCCCTAGGCCCTAGGCATTGAATTCAACTATATACTTACACCCCCCAACTATTTCGCCAGATTCAAGCTTCAGCTGAATTTCGCAGTGATCCCTTGAAAAGACGGATCACTCATGGTGGGCATGATCTCGCATCCCTGACAGGCTGCAACTTCCTTTGGCCCCTGCCACTTCGACCTTTCTGCCACCGTTTTGGCTGCCGCGGCCGCCCTGCGCACCTTCACCCGCACTGCGCGGGCACGGCGCTGTTGTGCGAGTGGAGCGGAGCTGCCGGCGGTGCGCCGGCGGGAGACGGGCGCTGCTTTATTGGCAGCAGAGGCTGGGGAGAGGTCAGGGTGCTGAAGGTCACTTCAAGTCGATTCCGATAGATTAGGATCCGGAGACTCCTTCCTCTCACAGTCGTGTAGCCGTGGAACCCCCTCTAGGTCGCCGCCGCGGCGGGGGAGGCCACCGCGGCGACGCCCTCCGCTGCAAGCGACACCGAAGGAGGCGGCGCCGCGTGGCGCCGCTTCCCCACGGACTTCGTGTGGGGCGTGGCGACGGCTGCGTTTCAGATTGAGGGTGCTGTGGCGGAAGATGGGCGGGGTCCATCCATTTGGGACTCTTGGCATCGATCAAGTCCGGCTGGGGTCAGGGGTCTATGGTGATGGGGTTGAAGAGTCTATAGTTTTGCTGTGCCCATGCTTCGTTTTGGTTGGATGGTTTGGGAATAGAAGATGTTGGAGTCTGATCAGACTGGGGTTGATCACAGGATCGATCGGGATGCACCGCCATCTCATAGGAAAAGCCCCCTGGCCTCGGGCCTCGGGAAAAAGAATGTCCTGGCTCCTGGACGAACTCCAAGTTGAAGGAATGCCTGACTTTGACCGTAAAAACTGAAATTGCCGTGTAAAGTTCAATTTCAATGATGGGGTCTCCTTCGGTTTGCCTTTCGCAGGCTCTGATTTGTTTCGTACATTTCATTTGCCCAAACACATTGGATCGGAGGGTTGGACAAGGAGTTAACTTTGGGGTGGGAGGGGTCGACGGGAGTCCAAGGGCTTTCATTATTTCATATATATATATATACATGTATAATATATATATATGTATAATATTATATATATTTATGTTTACGGGGGACCCCAACATTTGCAGGCAGGCAGAGGAAGATGAGGAAGCAAGACGAAAACCCAGGAAGGACGAAACTCGCGAATAGCGGAGTCCAAGGACACCTTCTCCCATGTGAAGGGCAACATCTACGAAGACGCCAATGCAGACGTGGCGTGTGACCACTATCACCGCTACGAAGAGGATTTGCAGCTGGTGAAGCAGCTGGGGGCGAAGGCGCTGTAATTCTGAGGATGAGCTGGGAAAGCCAACAGCGGAAATCTTGAAGAGGCCAACAGCAGAGTACTCACAATGTAGGCACATGTCAGGAGGTAATTTTTCCATTTTGTGGCTGCCTTCACGAAGAACATGTTGCTACATTGGTGCCCCTAAAAAGTGCCAATATAGGCAGGTCCTTTTCGGATGTTGTTCGACATCGCTCCTCTTAGCGGCGATGAAACGCCTTGTCTCTCAGGTCCGCAACTTGCCCAGTATTCAGTTGGACCACCCAATGTTTGATGTGAGAAACGAAAGGAGGACGGACCTCCTCGAAATTCCTTCGACACTTGGAGCCGCGTACGCTCCCTCCTTGGAGCCTCGTGGAGGCCTATCGCTTTTCCATCTCCTGGTCGCGGGTCTTGCCCACGGGCGTGGTCGCCGATGGCGTCAACGAGCAGGGCCTGGCCTTCTACGAGCAAATCTGCCGAGGCTGCCTTGCGAGAGGTGCCCGGTGAAGATTTGGTGCTCTGTTAGAAGTGTGGTGTTGAAGGATTTCTAACATCTTCTAAATGGGAGATGGGACAGGCAATGACGAGTTGGATGACTAGTTATATACGACTGTAGCCCAAAAGCACAACTAAGCATGACTCTATCTTCACCACATGAACTCCAGATTGATCTTCTGGACATCATCGCAACGTTTCACCCAATGATCTTTTGCATACAATATCTGATGGGTACAGCAACCAAAAGGTCAGAAAGCGACTCTCCATCGAACGCCCCAAAAAGCGGTTTCCCTGGCGAAATTGTCCCGCAACCATTGCCCCGGCCAGCGGCTATCAGCGCACGTGGCTTCGCGCCGATCACGGCCAGGCGTGGAACCCGTGGCGACGCTGTACCACTGGGATTTGCCGGAAGCGCTGGAGGCCCCGGAGCAACAACCCGCTCGAGCGGGACGACCCGCAGCTGGCCAGCTGAGCGCCGCTGAACTCGGGTTCGGTCCGACGTACGCGGAACGTGAAGGGCCGCGAGGAATGCGGTGAAGGCGGCGATATCGAAGGGAAGAGCGAAGAATCCAGTGTTTCACCCCTTTGGCGTGTCAGGAGGCTGCCATGTTTAGTTTAGGGTGACGTTTTGGATCTCTGAAGACTTCTATTTCCTTTCAAGTCCCAGACGACGTCGTTACCGTCCGCCTCTCCGGTGGCCTCTCCGACGCGAAATCCTTTGACCTCCGCCGTGCCATCCGCTTCTGCAGGCGGAGGGGGGGTGGCTGAAGCGCTCCACCGTGGGGCACTTTGGTCGCTTCGCGCAGCTTTGCTTTGAGCGCTTGGGGCGCTACGTGTGCCTCAGTGCGGATGGTCGGTGCGTCTGGGGAGGAGAGAGAACTCTGCGTTTGGTGGTGGGTTCGATGTAAAATGACGTTTTCCAGGTAATTACCAACCTGTGGATAATGTATATAATAATCATCAGTTACCAGTTAACAACAAAAAGGTTCCCCCACTCATAGGTGTGGGGATGGTTCGACGCTTTATGGTGGTCTGAAGAATCGCAATGGACTTCGATGGGCTGCTTGCCAAAGCGTGAGTGCTTTGCCGAGGGGCTTTGACAACAGAATGTACAGAACATTACAGAGTTTTCAGAGAGACTGGCAGTGCTGTTCAGGAACCATTAAAATGGCAGGTTCCTGAACGGGTGGCAGATTTTCGCTCTCCACAACTGGCTCGTCGCTCGTCGGTCAGGAAGACCTGGTGCAGCATCAATGAACCCTGGACTCAATGTACTTTGGACTGCTGAATTAACTATCCAAGGGGCTACATTGGAGTTTTCTGCCGAGTTCACGCAGACTCCGTTCTGGCACTGATTTCAAATGATTCACTCAAGAATGGAGTGATTTGACTTCCTGTTCAGCCACCAAAATCCCTCCACTATCCTCCACTGACTTGGCCAGCAGGCAGCAGGTGTTACACGGTACTTGGTCAATCTCTTGCATCAGCCCAACAAGCTAGTCGCTGTCTCGTTCTGGGGCTCTTCAGTTGCTACACACTACACTGCGGCTAATCAGATGGGATCACGACGATGTTCACGACCATCGCTTAGCGATATCGTCCCGAAAAGCTGATAAAACATGTCTCAGCACTTGCCTACACATCCTACACCGCCTACACCCCAAAAAAAGATGACACACATCGACACACCAAATAATTGGCCCCCCAAAAAACAAAAAACAGAAAGGAGAGAAAAGAACTCTCAAGAGAACCTTCCAAGATTAGTAGACCCACCCGGATGTCTTCCCCGCTCCGCGTCCGACCGTTGGGGGATTTTAGGGAGGGACCATGATATCACTCATCCTACTCCTCTTCAACCCTGGTCTAGCCATAACAGACCCCTGTCCCGCTTTCTCGGTCGCTTGCGTGCGAAGCGGGCCTTGCGCCCCATCACCCCGTTTGGCGCGTCCCACAGCGCGTGGGGTGCGGGCCTTGCCTTTGTGCAGGGCTCTGAGGCATCCTGGGCTATTGCTTTGGCTCGCATGCGCCCGGCCGCAACGTGAAGCCGGGCGAGGAGCCATACTTGGCAGCGCACCACATGCTGCTGGCGCATGCCAAAGCACAGGAGTGGGGGTGGCTCATTTTGCGATGGACACCTCGAGCCTTTTTTTTGGGGGATTTGGTCTTGAAAGGTGCTTGCAACCATTTCTATCCATTGGTGCTAGGTGATTCCCGGTTTAAGGGACACATCTATAATTATATGGTTTGGAGGGTGAACACCATGGATTCCGGTAGATTTTTACCTAGACCAATCCGTTGAGTGATCTACTGTAGTTCTGTGAAGCTGTCTTCGGCATTCTTCGTCTGACTTGCCAAGACCCACGAAGACGCGGATCGGATCAGATCCACCCAGCGGCCACACAGGAAGTCCCCAAGACCCAGTCCCCGATCTCCCGAAACTGCGTGGAGGAGATCTATCGCACACTCAAGCCCAAAGATGGCAGGTGAGGGGGAGATGTCAGATGTCACAGAGCAGAATTTGGGCCGCGAATCGATGGTAACTGTATCTATCAACAGGCAAGCAGACCAAAGCTACCCACCAGGTTTGGCCAGACATAACATGTCTGTGGGGGGTTGTGCAACTGGTAAGGCCCCGGAATCATGATCTCCCATGTTCAGACATGGAGGCTCTGGAGGCTCCAGAGGGTGTCCAGATCGATCCAAAGACTCTGATGCGGATATTCATCCGAAGACTTTGGGCCTTGCTGAAACGTGTGGGTGTCCGACGAGGTCTTTCTTGTTCGATCCTGCGATCGGGTGAACTAGGTGAATCCCCTTCTCGCGCTGGTTCCTGGACCGCTCGTGAAGGTGCATCTGCCGCTCTAGCTGGAGATGAGTTGAGCCTCCTCGAGTCTCAAGACCGGACCACTTTGGCCCTTCTCTGAGATCCGAGACTGTCGATTTTCCAACAAATCGTCAAGTCAATCTCCAGCTGGCACTCCATGACACAAACTCTCTTCGCCAGGTACCTTCAGAGGGTGGTGGGTTGGTTCGGTTCTCCGAATGGGCAGGCTGGCGATGGTCTTGAACACCGAGTGGCCTGAAGCACAAGAGCCGGAGAATCCGGAAGATCAGGCGGAGTCGGACCGTCCACAGACGCGACGGGACGGACGGAGACGCGAAGAGCCAACGGTTTCGACTAACGAGGAATTCTCTTGGAGCGCCTGGGGGTTGGAGAAGGTGGAGTGAGGTGACGAATTTCAGGTCATATATTATATATATGATTTATGAAAGAACTATTTCTTAAATAGGCCTTTGAGCCTGAGGGTTTATATACTGTATACAGTAATGTATATATATATATGCACATAGTACCAGGAACATTAGGCACCTAGCACCAAAACTCATTAGGCACACGACGTCCGATGTGGAGACCTCATGGGAACCCGGTCTGGTTGAAGCCATGAGGCATCCGTGACGGACCATGGAGCACCCTTCGGATGGTGGTTGTATACATTTATATACATTTATATTGTATACATTAAGTAGAAATACATATTCATAACTATGTTCTTTCAGAAGACCCTGGCTTGGCAATCAGTGTGGGGCCCACTTCGTTATTTTTTTTCTGAAGCCAGCCAACATTCTCACGCTCGCTGCGCGACGCGGTTCCTTCATGTTCCTTCCAGGCAGCCGTGGAGAGGCACAAGGTCTTCAACTTGGATTGGTTTGCAAGGTGTGGAGTGAGTTGGGAACTCTACTAATCTGGTGCTTACCAATACTTCTTGACTGCTGAGCCCCAAGCCATCCCAAATTTGGTTCACTTCCTGAAAACAAATCCATGTCAGGGTTCCATTCATAGAGCAGATCCTTCACCTGTTTGGGTTGAACCGCAACACGTCCAGAGGCCATTGTACGATGGCGACTATCCTCCACTGATGCGTTCGCGAGTGGGTGAGCGGCTGCCACGCTTTACGGAGGCGGAGCAGAAAAGTCTGAAAGGCTCCAATGACGCTGGGGCAGCAGACTGACTGGTGCTTAGTGTTGCGACAAAAGTAGGGAATAAGATGGAATAGGGCAATGACCCGTCAGACCTCTAGAGACATCCAGAGACTAGAGACCTTAGGAACTCCTTACGAGTCGCACCAGTCAGCAGACGAGGTAGCTGAAGATCTGATGGAGTTCTTTGGATTCGGATTGTGAGTTCTGACGGGTATATATATATATATTTTTTTTTTTTGAGGCTCCAGTTCCAAAGATCGTAGCTGTTTCATGGCATCACCCAAAAAAGCCGAACTCGTGGGGCTTCATGGGGTTGAAAAACCGGCACCGATGCTTTCCATTTATATATACTCTGGAGAGTATATATATATTATATAATTAGCAAGCAAAGGTGAGAAACGATTGCTGGATTAGGGCAGGTTTCAGGCCACATTGCTGGTGAAACTGTACTTGCAGCTGGATGAACTGTCACTCTGCTGGAGTCTACCATACCTTCTAGCGCCATTCATTGACCTCAGATCCGAGTTTTTCATCCTGTGCCAGTACTGTAGTCATATAGTTCATAAATCCCAGACACTGCATGTCGTTTGGAATATATACCGTATATACCTACATTGACCCAATGTAGGCAGATATGCCATACATGGAGTGAGTGTCAGGGTATGCACAGTTCACCCATCGCTGGCTTTTGCACACTTCAATCAAGAAAGGGCCCAGCATAGGTTGGTGCTGTAGAACGATCTGATTCGCGCACAAATCACGGCCGCTCCCCTCAACCGCTTGCCGCACCTCAGGATTTCTTCGCGCTGAACTGCTACTCGGCACGCTATATCTGCGAGGATACGGCCTGGCGCAAGTGGCAGAACACTGCTGCCACCTTGCGGATTCTGCCCTACATCGCAGACGTGCCCGTGCCGAGCGGAACTGCTTCGGTCGGGGGCGGGAACGTTTGACCATTGAAAGGAAGCTGAAGACCTAGCACGTTTCCTGTCGAAAGTTGTAGAGTTGTAGTTGTTTGGCATGGACATTTTCGGAAAGAGCCATTAATTCAATGGCGGCTGGAATGTTAGTATCCTTAAGTCTTGGTAAACCTGGTAGATCATGGAGTTGCATGAAGAGCAAGAGTGGACGGTTTTTTGGTGTGAGGTGGGGCGCAAAAGATACGAATATTGATCCTTTGGTGTGCTGGAAATTGTGTCCTGCGTTCAGGTCTACTGCTAGCTTATATATATATACTTCAACCAACTGATGCCTACCTTGGAGATTCCATTTTTGGGGGTCTCAATATGACACCCCAGATGAGATAGTAGACCCGATCAGGGACAGACACTCCTGGAAGCCAGACATCCAGAGTGTTTCACTATATAAGTTATATCAAGTTTTTCTTCTGAAGAGGCTCCACTCACAGTCTAACATAGTCTAACACCTAGACACCTACGCTCTGCTTGACGAACATGGGAGTGGCAAACCTCAAATTGTCCATGGTGCCCTGTATCCAACAATCGTGGTTGTTCACAATCCATGCCATCCACTTCCACTGTTGGATGGAGGATCCAGTGACCTCAAAACAGAAAAGGACAATCACCCCCCCAAAAAAATGACTTGGCATATCTTGGGAGACATGACTCGTTCTCCATGACAGACCCAATGGCTCTGACACTCAGACGTTGCCGCAAGGTGCCCCTTCAGAAGCTCAAGGCGGCACTTGCGTCCAACAAGACCGACGAGGGCAGCACGGGCGAGGAGGTGCCTGTCGGTGGTCCAGCGCAGGCGCGCGGACTGCCGGCCACGCCACCTGGTTTTGGAGTGGATGGTGCGGGGGAGCTGCTGGGAGATGCTGGGATGATGGATGACATGATTCGTTGTTATTTCCAACCAAACGAGTGACAGTTTCAAGGTCCAAGACTGAAGGTCTTGATCAGATCCGCCAGTGACATCTGATTCTTGGCGTCCTTGTGGGTCTATTAGTGAGTGTTCCTTCTCCCACCAGTCTGGTGAAAAGTGGAATGCCGGTCGATCTGGTGTGTGGCCACCGGGTTCCTGGTTGATGTTCTTTGCGCCGAACTGGGTGACACCCCTTCCAGTCGACTCATGGAAGAAAATGGTGTGCCAGGGAGACCCGAGTTCCGGAATTTCGTGGAATGTCCTGTCCTTCAAATGTGAAAAAGAATCTTTGGGCTTCCTGGGGGAATTGGAGAAGCATCACCAAACATCATCATTCCCTTGGCGATCGTTTGGTGAAGCGACACTTCCAGTCCTCAGTTTTGGAGGTGTCGCGCAGGCGAGCTCTTCACCTGGGACCGGCGTCCTACTCGTCCTTTCGGGCCCAACCGGGGTGAGGGAGACGCAGATGATGCAGGGTAATGTAGACTCTTGATTAATAACCCCACCTCGATTGAATTGGACATTGTCTTAGGGTTTATGAATCAAGAGTCTACATGACCAGTCTCCGGCCTGAGGAGTTGGATCACAGATGCGGGCTATGAGAGACTCGTCGGTCAGAGGGGCGGTAGGGGCGGAGCAATCGCAGCGACGGATGATCCGTACCAGTCTGCGGGTGGCCAGGATCCAGGCTTGGCCAGGCTGGGTGGCATGTGCCGGGTGTCCTTGCTGTTGACGATTGCTGGTTCCTATGAGTCGTTCGACAACCAATTGGTCGTTGGACACATATGGCCAAGACACGACCGATGGGACTCAAAAGCTCAAGCCCACTCAGTATCACTTGGGTCACAAAAAATAAGGCACCCTCTGGCCCTATGATGGGTGGTTGAAAATGGTTGAAGAAGGGGTCAATGCATACCAGTCCCCACTAAGATGGCACATATTCCATGATCAATATTTGCAATGTTAGTGGGGACACCCCGGTATAGGCTACCTTTTAGTTCCCAGTGAGAGTGGAACCTGCGGCTGCAGCTAAGGACTGCCGTTCCCTTAGATGCGGAGCTGACGGTACCTTTGCGAAAATGTTTTGGCGACCTCAACTCTAGTCGCAGGGAATCCCTTTACTGTGAGAATGAGCAAGACAAGCCAATACAACACACTTGTGGTGAGTGAATGAGTGCCTCCCGCTTGTCACATTTTTCAACCGTTTTTGTGCTGTGATGATCCAGTTACCGTATAGAGATTGAGACCGCATCACATCTCCTGGTTCCTTTATAGATAGCGCTGCAGCCCATCCAATTCTTTGAGCTCTTTCACAACAATGGCAAAAGTACCAAGGCCCTTTGTTTACTCTTGGTTTCCTTGAACAATCTTGAACGTTTTTCACCTTTCCAACGACTCTCAGTGTATGTCCAAAAAAGCACCAACCCTTCCACCCAGGCCACGGGCTGGCCAGTGGCCCACTATGGCCTGGCCCGGCTTCTACTGGACCTGCAGCGCCATTATGCGCCGCGGGGCGGCATCGTGGTCACCGAAGCTGGGGCTGCCTTCGACGACGACCGGCGAGGAGCTGCGGGCAGGCGCCAGGCGGCGTACCTGCGGGGGCAGAGCGTGGCCTTGAGGCAGGGTGGGTGGCGGGAAGAGCTGCTTAGCAGCTGCTTGGGACATCAAAGGATCAAGTTGGTCGATAACTAGTTTCATTGTGGTGAGTAAATTTGGGAGTCAAGGCCAAGGATTCTTTCAGTCGTTCAATGAATTTGCGCCATCTACTACTACCGTTTTGTTGATGTTGATTCCTCACCTTCGGCCATTGATCGGGCGAAGAGACGGACCAAACCGCTTTGCTTCGGAGATCGACCGGAGTCCGTGCTGCGTCCGTGGTGCTCACTGCATTGAACTCCAGGAGCTGGGGGTGAGGATCGACAGGTTTGGTTCCAAAAGCCAAGTCCCAAAAAAAAGGGGTCCAGACAAGTAGATGGCCAGCCAGAAATCCGTCCTGACTGGTTGGTGGATGAAATAGAGGGGATACCCCTGGGTTGGTAAACGGCATCGACCCCTTGATTCTTCCCAAAAGAAGTCATATGGGCTTAGACATGTCCAGACATACAAGACACGCATACCGGCCCGGAACCAACTGTCATTTTCTCGTTTTTTTGCTTCTTCAAACTCTGTAAGGCCTTCTTTGACTATGCGGATTCCAAGAGGTGCAAAGACATCCATCCAAGAGGTCCCTTCAATCCGTGTTTTCTTACCCCTCACAGCCATCCCCCCAAACCTGGGATTTGGAGGTGCACTCCGCATCTCTCCGGTGCGATCCCCCCCGACCTCTCTCGCAACGACGGTCGGGGGGGGGGGCCTCCTCTCGCAATCGCCGTCTGAGGCGTGCCATGGCGGAGGGTGCTGATGTGAGGGGTTACTTCTGGTGGACCTTGATGGATAACTTCGAATGGAGCTTCGGAGCCTCGGACGGTGCAAGGGTGGCCGAGGCAGTGAAGAGGAAGGTGCAGTCTTCGAGATATACCTTTGTTACTAGGAGCTTCTTGCTCCTAAGTAACGCCAGGAGTCAGGAGCTACTAGTACTTGTTCCTTTGCCCTTTGTGAAGTAAAGGACTTTCCCTTTCAGCAAGTCCCTTTTGAGATTTTAGATAGAGTCTGAAAGAGTCCAAGGGAGCAGATTTGCGTGAGTTTGGGTCGCTCTTGTTTTAAATCTGCCGGTTCCCTCCCTGGTTCAAGGCTGATATCTAGCGGAAACTCTGGCCAATAAATTCCGGCGTTCAATAGAACTCAAATCCCTCCACTAAAACAACAAGGTGCTGGCTGGTTTGTGAGGAACCACCAAAGGATAAAGACCCAACTTGACCTTGCTAAAATCATGTGGGAATCAGACAGGCGGCCATTTTCAGATTCAAGTCATTCGTTGGAAGTTGGAACTCATCAAATATCTGTTGAGTTATTGACTCGTCCCTTAATTGAGCCCAGCCTCCCAAGCCTATGGTCAACTGGTCAACCACTTGCTACAAGGGCCTCAATGCTTTGATGACTGGAATCCTTGAGGACATCCATCCATATCTGTCACCAAGCCCCCACCTGCCAGCAGCTCAAACATCCATGAACTCAACAGAGCAAGACACCTGTATGCCGCGCTTAATATATGATGTTTCAGCATATTTACCTCACCCGGTCTCACCCTGTGTCACCGACCCCCTGTGTCACCGACCTCTAGCCATGGGAAAACATGAAAAAAACCAACCGCATCGACTGACCTCAGGCTACTCCAAACACTTCGGCCTCTATGCCCTGGACGTCGACCTGACGCGCTGGCCGCGCGCGGAGGGCGCCGAGGCCTTTGGGCGCCTGGCGGCGCGCCAGGCGCTGGCGCCGGAGGTGACACTGGAGGAGTTTACTCGATGCCTCGATCGGCCGGATGGGAAAAAAGCGCGGGTGGTGGGGGTTGAAAGGGGTTTACGGGTGGGAGAAAGGAACACGGTGGCGGTTTGGCATATCTATAGTAGCTATACATTCAAACATGCATATTTTTGATTGGATATGATATAATTGATATACAATACATGCAGCTGTAGTAATTAGTTGCTGATGTATGAAGACAGTACCAAAACTATACTGAGAATAGAAGGCCTTCACGAGTGTTGTGGGAACAAACACCTTTCTCCGGGTTCTTCCTGGAAAAGAGTATAGGGTCTGCCAGGCATGCTCTTCCATCTCAGATATCAGTGGTATATAGATCGTACTGAGGTCGTACTGTAGAGTCTTTGATGTCTTTCTTACGACCTGTGTTGAGACTCATCCCACCTGTCCTCGCCCCAAACGCGCTGCGCCTCTCTCGCCTGCCTGCAACCCACGTGACCGGTTCCGTCCGCGGGAGACCGAAAAGCGCGCGTCCAGACTAAGCAAGACCCGGTGGGACACCTGGAGTAGGTCCAGACTGGATCGTGAAGCTTCCACCCTCCCATACTAGAGATCTTGGAGAACGTCCATGCTCACCATGATGCTTTTTTGAGGTCGCTCTGTTGGAGATGGAAGAGTGCCCGGAGAAAAGGGGTCTGGCGGATTTCGAGCGGTCGAGTCGACTTCAGATCCGTTTGGCGCTGAAAGAGCGCTGCGCAGTTGTGAATAGTGAAGCCAACACTGGATGAAATTGGTAGACCCTAAAGTCATTCCTCGTGTGGAAAAGACTTGAAGCTGGCCACATGAGCGATTTGGAAGCAAGATGTGCTCAGCCAAATTAAGTCATTTGCTTGGCTTGGCGGTTTCAAATTTATTCAAGTTTGCAATGAGTTATCTGGCATGATTCAATCTCAATGGATCTCAATGGCAAATCATGACAAATCACATATTTTGGAGGTTGTTGAAACCACCACGCAACAATTCATGATATATAATCCCTTTGAGACGAAGCAAAAGGGTGAAGATATTTGACCGTGACCGCTGGGCGGAAAAATGGCAAACCTGGCAGACCCGGCGGTAAACTCATCCTTCAGCAGCCAGCTTCTTCAAAGTGAGACTGTTTTTGGAGTCCCTAAGTGATCCTTTAGAGACCTGTTTGTGACCTCAAAGTGCACATGGAGCAAGTGGACATCATGTCGCTCAGCTGTTGAGGTATGTCGTACAGGTTAACATAATAATATATGTTGTCATAGACATAGATGTCGATTTCGCGCCACAGATGTCCTCCAGGCTGCCTTGGATCGCAGGCGCTCCGCCTGCTTCGAGCGATCGAAGCTGGGTGACCTCTCCGAAGCGGACCGGTTGAGCTTTCGGACCGGTTGGCCCAGATCGGTCTCCGGTTGGTCCGACCACACCGGCTGGGCACCAAGGAGCGGTATGAAGGGGTCGTCGTCCGGTCGACACCTCCGCTGGATGGAGTGGGGCCTCGATCAAGGTTTTGGTGAAGACAACTAAAGGGTTGGTTCGGAAGGATTCTGAGTCGATTTTGTTGTATGGTCAGGTCTTCAATGTGGTGGTTTGGGTGGCGTTTGTGTTTGGACTCGCGCATAGTATGTGGGTACTGTAAGTTGTTTTTGAAGTTGAAGATGAGGAAGGCGAATATAACATGATATCAAAACAATGTATACAGAGCCCACACATACCCACACATACTTCTCACATTTCTGCGGCTGTGTTACATATTTGGACTCTTATAGTTTTCTCATGTTTCCTCCTTATCCAAGTCACCCTTTCCTTTCACCCTGTCTTCTAGGTCCAGACAGCCGTTGCCACTGAGCGCCCCGCCAGTCTGCTCTTCGAGCCCTTGTTGCATGGCTTCAGCTTTGAGCCTGAGAGGGCTCTAGCACGAGCACAGGAGATAGCCTTGGGCCCGAGCACAAGGGTCCAGAGAATGGCATGGCGGCATGGCCATAGTTGATATCTCACCAGTTGTTCTCGTCAGGAATGATGAATGGCCCAGGAACCAAGGTCTACTGTAACAACATTTGGTTAGAGGGCAGATCTTTGCCTGTGTTTGAGGATCATGCTTCGCATGCTGGTACGGATCGAGTTGAGATGCCTGGTAATCTCAACACAGCGTTGATCTTGTGAGATTACCTGGTGGGGTTGTTCTCATGCTTTGCATCCCTGAATCATCCACTGGCTCCCAGGAGCGTTTGGACCAAGCAAGAGCCCGGCCGTTAGAATCGGAGGACTCGACTACGTGGGTTTGGATAAGAAGAGCCACGGGTGTCGTTACATGCACTCTGATCTCTTGTGGGCCATGGGGCCCATCGAGGCAGGTGACCAAACTGCCTGGCTCCCAACACATGTTGGCAGAAAACAAGGCATTCGCGGCCTTTGGTGAACGAAAAGCCTGAGACAGGTCCAAATGTCTGACCCCCGAATCGTTGAATTTGGAGGGACGCGCTCGTTTTGCGTTCCATTGATTGAGCTCGAACTAAGCTGACCGCACTCGGGACCGGGGACGGCATCGCGGTGCCGGTGAGGCTTCGGGTGGATGTGTATGAACCCCCGAAACTGGGCCCACGGGTGGATGTGTATAAAGCCCGGACAGGTTCCTGGACAGCCATTTTAGATCTTCGATACTGGGAACAAGAAGCTATGTACGCATGGTATTAGGAGGCCATTGCTTTTTTAGGGTTGGAGGCCATTCCTACTAGGAACAGGAAGCTACTGATATTCCACTAGTAGGAATAAGATACCTACCAGGAACAAGAAATACCTACTAGTCACCGGTATAAGCATCTGATGTTTCGCAAGAAGAGCTTCCCTGCATGTCTTTCGCACCGGTCTTCGGCATCTCATCGAGCCGCTTTCCCAAGCGTCGATGCCAAGCGTCTGATAGAGACCTGGAGGCTACAGGTCGGGTGTGTACAAAACTTGTTGGTTTTACCATACTTTTAAGTAGACCTCCCGGAGAACCCATGGATGTGGCAGTCCCCCTATCACCATGCGGATCGGATCATGCAACAAGTTTCCCCGCCTTCTGCAACTCGGGCGCTCGAAGTCATCTCGAAGTCCTGGTTCGAAGTCCACTCCCATCCCTGAGGTGTCTCAAAATGAGGAGGCAGAGGCGATCCATGAGTGGGGTATGGATATGGCCGGCAGCCGACCACTGATTTTTGATCCGGAGGATTCCGCCCAACCTCGGATGAAAGATGATGAAAGACAAAAAATTGCAAAAAAGAACCGTCTATAGAACTGACGGACTGACGGGGTTTTTAAAACTCGTCTCCAGAATGAAGTCCACATTGGGATGATCAGGTGATCACGCTCAGGCGTGGATTTGGGTGGTCATTCCCATGTCATTCCGAGACTTGGGAGAACTCCCAAAGACCATCCCGGAAGAAGGGCAGTAGATCAAAAACCCTACTGGCTTATGGGTCTCCCCGTGAGATGGCCCGTCGGGCCGGTCCGGCCGGTCGCACCGGCCGCAGGCGGCCGCTCTGCTGGCCATGGCCGATGCTCAAGCCGCCCAGGAGCGACCAACACCATACAGAATGAGGTCAAGATAGGTCAAGCAAACCGATCTGTACTGCAACATATATTGCCCAAGGTCACCAGGCCAATGGCAGAGGTGCAACGCTGTACCCATCCACAACCAGGTCGACAGACCTGTGGTTTTTCACCAGACCTGTCCGAGGAACAGGTGAAAGACCAGACTCTCCCCGCGAGCTTCAGTTACACTGATTGGATTCATGCAGAAGATCACCTGGAGCCCCCTGCACCAAGTAGGCCAACCAACCAAGATATACTGGTTTTGACCTTGAGCCATTTGATCGTGATCATGACCTGTCAACCACCCCTCTTCAACCACCCCACATATGCCTCCCAGACGGGTCGTGTCGTTCTGCATGCCGGTGAGATGTGCCTCACCCGGTCTCACCCCAGTGGGCACGGGACGCAGCCCAAACCGACCGGTGAGACCGAAGGAGGCTGATACTTAGCTGCTGATGACTTGACCGAACTGGGCGCATCCCCTTCTCGTGAAGATTTTTCCTTTCATATCCTTTTATTTTTCTCGGTTCCTGGATAGCAACTCCGAGCTAATGTTGACGGTTGAGGGAGAAAACACCTATGCATAATGATATGAAGATGTAAAGCCATTCTGGAGACGGGGGTTGATTCTTCAACAGTCAACATTGCGTGGCCCTCTATGAGAGCAATCTCAGAGGAGTCTTGTTGAACATGTTGAAATGATTCTTTGCAGACCCAGCACCACGTAAGGGGTACTGTAAGACACAGTTTGACCCAATTCAACCGGAGAATTGGCTTCCCCCCCGGCATGACCTTGCCTGGTCAACAATCGTGAGTTGTTTCGCATGGTTCACGCGTCGTCGGTGTGTGCGAAAGCAGAAGTGTCGTCTGAATTTGAGGAGGATGGCGTGGGAGACTCCTTGGAGGCACCGGAGCCTCTGCGGAGACTCGGCGTGGAGTCGTGGAGAACATTCATTTTAAGCAGCGTAATTAATAGCCTTCATGTGCACTCCTCTTGAATCCATTTGACCCCTGCTTTGAAAGGACGGGCCATTTTTTGGTATTCCTTTTTGGGTTGGATGCCCAATCGTGGCAAGGTGTGGCCACCTGATCGCCCATTTCTTGGACCGTCGTCCATCGCCAGGGCGCAGAGTCAGCTTTGCGCCTAGCGAAAGAGGTGCTGAGGCGAATGGAGGTGCAACGAGCCATGCCGCTCATCGATTCCTGCCGCATCTGCCGCGTGTGTGGAGTCACGATTCCTGGGGGAACGTGGCTGCCGCGTGTGGAACGTCAAGAGTAGATCGAGAGTTGCTTGTGATTTCCGGGTGAGAGTATAGGCTGTTGTAGACTGTTGATGAATATTGACTCTCCATATTATGATGTAAAGCCATTCGGGAGACGGGGTTATATAGATTCCTCAACAATTAACATGGCTTGGCCCTCTGTGAGAGCAATCTCACAGGAGTCTTGTTGACATGACTGTTTGCAGCCCCAAACCACGTACGGTGGTTTCAGAGTAGATGGCGGCACCGCAAGACGTCTTTTAGATCGGGATGCAAAACCACCAAACTTGGGGTAACTTGTGCCATCTACTCTCAATCCAGTATGAGGGGGTTGATGTGAGCGTCTCCCCGGAACCACTCCGATGTCTTCGTTGAAACGACCGGTTCACCGACGCACTTCGTCTCCATCCGGGGTACACCCCGCCAGGAGGCAGGCCACGTCGAGGGGCGAGCAGTGGCGGCCCGAGCCAGTCTTTTCAGTCACGTTGTTGCAAGCCTGGGAGTCATATAGAATTGACATGAATTGAACGGTCTTTAGGAGACATGAAAGGGAGCTTCCTTTGCTTCACTCCGAGAAAGTATAGAGTCTTCGGACTTCTAGCAAACTACACTTCGACACACTCACGTGGAGTGGAAAAGCCCCTGGTTGTGAAGGAAACATCCTCTTCCAGGGCATTCCCAGCAACTTCCAGCCATCCGCTCCAAACGTGAGTCAGAGTGTGCACCCAATGTCAATTTTATATGTCAGTATACTGTACCAGGACCCTCCAAGGGGTGTCCAATGGACTACCCCACCCTACCGATAGGCTTCCATTGGGCACCCCTTAGAGGATCCTGGTAGTTGTCAAACGGTTTCACCACGGTGGCTAAGATTTTTGTTCGAAAAAAGTACGTTCGGATCGAAGGTTTGGCTCCAGGCAGGAGGTCTCTGAAGAAGCAGACCCAGATCCTGAGAAGCGATATACCATGGGCTCGGTACATAGCTTGGAACATACTAGCTGTGCTTAACCAGTCGAGGAGCGACAACGCATGGAACGCATTTCGGCAGGGATGACCGCCTTCCATGTCCTTGTTGAAGGTTGTTGGTTCCTTGTAACATCTTGTAACCTCATTTCCACGGGCCATCCGGTAGCTACCTTTAAGATGCCAAATGCATTCCAACGACCTCAATAACATAATATAAACCATCAATAAACCAAAAAGCCGCAGCTATGGCAGGACAATACATTGGTTACATGATTTCCCCAATCGACCTTTCCTCACAGTGCCTTTTGTTGCTTCGGGCAATTGTGACATGTCCCGAAGCCGATGACAGCTTCCGACATGCTTTGACAGCTTCCTATCCCGGTGCACACTCGCCAAATGTGAGGGGTCGCCCGAAACAACCATTTGTTGGTATCTCTTGAGTAGCTTGTGCCTTTGACTCCAATGAGTGTACCATACTTAGAACGCGAATGACCTCTATTATGGACCACCTGCCACCAACCAAACTGCTACCAACCTCCTTCCCTGCAGTCAAGGCTGCCAAGCATGTGATGGCAAAGGCGTGCCTGGCGGGAGGCCAGGCGGAGGCGGTCGCAGAGGCGCAGGCGGCCCGACGGCAACAGCTCCAAACGGCTGGAGAGGGGGCCTTGGAGTCGAGCTAGTAGCGTCCTTGCTCCTAGTAGCGATGCCAGGAGCCCCTAGTTAGTAAGGCCAGGAGCCCCTAGTAGCGTCCTTGCTCCTAGCAACGATGCCCTTTGCCCCTAGAGCAGTTTTAGTGGTTGGATAGAAGCTTTTTGGAATTCCAGCAACGCTCAAGAACGTCATATATAGATCTTTCTTTTCTTTGCATTTGGTCCCCGAATGTGAACAGTGCTTCTATTTTGGAGGAATGGGGCATCCAACGCCTGTAAATACTCAGGACATCTCAGGACACCTGACTTTTTGATGGATCAAGAACAGGCACTGAAGAGCACTGAAGAGCTCCCCCATGCAGGGTGTGATTGACCCATCGGACGACATTTCCGGACGGTTCCTTCCTGCGTTCGAGCGGTTGTAGGTCACACCGTGTCATACAGATCAACTAGCAGAGCTTGGTCTTGGAGGTCCTCTTCTCTCCGAAAAGAAGGAAAACACCACCCACATCCACCCACCAAAATCACTCGCCGCCTCACCGCGACCTCGTCCCCCGTCCCCCAATAAAACGCCACCACTGAGCACCGAGCTCCGTCCGCACGGAGCACGAGCACACCGGGGGGACCCCCCGACCCGTAGGAGGCGCTGCAGCTCTTCCGAGCCCTGGGGCACCTCGAAGGAGAGGCCGCCACGCTGGATGTGGGGGTGCCCCAGTCGGGGCGACCGAACCGGTGGTGGAGGTGGCGAGTTGGCGCGGTGGAAGGAGAGGACCCAAAAGAGAGGGGCCGGGGCAGTTGAAGGTGTTGGTCACAGTCATGGGGCACAGGAGTAAAGATCCCTCTCCATGAACATCTGGATGAGGCTTCACGAGTTCTGGAGGCTCCTTCCGGCACGCTCGGAGGGGAAAAAGCAGACGCCTGAGTTCAAATGGCTGCCGTTCGTTTCGTCACAAATGGGTCAAATTGATTTGAAGGTTCCAATATGATCCAGTTCCAATTCATGATTATGTCATGTTCATTGGTCCATATTGCTCCAATTCTCACCTTGAAGAGACTCACTTCCAGAAGCTTCACCTCTCATTGCGTCCGGGAGGTCAACGGTCCAGGGTTCCATGGTTCGTTCCGTTCGCGAGAACTGCAGGTCTTGGCTCAGGCACAACTGCAGGAGGCCGGAACGGGTGAACGAAAGGTGTCGGGACGATCAGAGAGCACCCGTCGTGCTGGAGATTCAGTCGTGGCGATCTGTGCCGCTGGTGTTCGAAGCTGGCATAACATGCTTTTCTGGAAACCGGTGTTCATGAAGGATGGACAGGTCCTGTGTTGACATGTAGAGGGCAGTGTCCGTCGGATGGCCAATGGAGTCTTCAAATCGCTTCCTGTTTGTGGCCGCGTCGGTAGGACCCCCAGACGGCCTTCCACTCCGCCAGCAGCGGCCGAGAGATCTTCCGCCGCCTCGGAGACAGGCTTTCCCAAAGCGCGTGCGCTCTCGGGGCGGCCCTTTGGGCTCCGGAAGGGGCGTGTCTCCTTCTTTGCAGATGTTTTCTTTTTTTCTTAATTAAATTTAGTTCAATGTTTTTCAAGTTCAAATATTTCGGATCGTGAGCGATCCGGGGAGTTAAAACATGTTAAAACTGGTTGAATGGCAAGCATATGGCATTTGTTCTGGGAAGCCTGAACCAGGGAGCACAGGAACACAGGTGTGGTGTGGATGTCACCCGCTTTGAGGTGGATTTTCACGGCACAGAACCAAGCAGACAACTCACAAACCAACTATCATCACAGCAAACCCTGCAGGATTAGGCAGGATTACAGACACCTCATTCTACTGGAGTTGGCTATATAAAAACTCTGGATCAATGAGGTAAAGGACCCGGTTTGACTGGGTCCTTGGAGCGGTGCAGGCGCGCCTCCATGCTGGAGCGCAGCGCGCTGGGCGCGTTGCTGGCCTGCTGGGTGCCCCAAGGGTGCCTGAGAATCGAACACCCAGCGAGTCTGGAGGGGCCTGGACTGAGGGGCGCTGCATGCCTCTGCGCGAGACACCGTTCAAGTGCATGAAAGTGCTGAAGAGTTCGCTGAACACGTGGTACTGTGAGAACCGTTGGGATGACTTTGACCCCTACCTTTACACCTTACAAGCATTTGCAGATTGCATCTCCCAGGTCGACGTAGAAATTGCCATGGACTTGCAATATAGTTATATAAATACATATAAATATACATAATCAATCTTACAATCTTATAGTTGGTCGATGTTGGTCCAACCCAGAAAGCATGCAACTGCGAATCTAGTTGGTCCAAGCCAAGAAGCCAACCTCCAATTCCTTCATGACCCAGGTGGCCAGCTGGACGAAGCACTCAAGGAGGCCGAGGCCTTCGGCAAAAAACACAGCGCTAGCTGCAGAAAGCGCTGTTCCTGGTTCCGGGGTGAACCCCCTGGGCCTTCTCAAGATGGTTTGGAGCTTCAATTCCCAGTTTCTTGGGAATCGCAACTCCAAGAATAGAGAATAATAAAGATGTTGAAATCCTTTGGATCTCAATTAGAGTTTGACAGCACCAAATCCTTCAAAATAGATAGAATAGAGGTCATTGCAGGTTTCTAGGTCTCATTTCATTTTTGGGTTTGGTGGATGGTCCAACTTCACTCAGCCTTCGCCGGTCGATTTGGTTCGGCTCGGCACTCGGCACGCTCCAAGTGTGCAACCTAATAGGTACGTATAATATTGTATAAATACGTGTATCATCGTCGAAGAACCGCGTGTATATATAATCAAAAAAACATGCAAATATGTGCAAGTATTATCAAGTATTATTGTTATTTTGAGAGATGAGTCACCTAGGCTGAATGATCTCTATCTTGGACCACCAAGCAAACCCCAAAATGGCCCTGGATCCTATCATCCTATCCCCCCCACAAAAGGGCACGAGGATGGACATGACCATGTAAACACTTTCATTCTTCCCTCCCGGTCCCTCTGTGATACGACTTAGCAGCTGGCCTCCCTCGCTAATAGGGATGGCCTCCAACCTAAGAGCTCCTCAACTCTACTCCTGCCACTTCTATGTCCTCTAACGCGCCCGCAACGGGGCCCGGGCGCCCCGCGCGGAACACCCGCCGCCGCCGGTGTCTGCCGCACCGCGGCCAGGCCTCGGTGCGGCGCTGCCGTCGGGATCCAGGCGATCGAAGAGAGGAGGCGGCTGCGCTGGTGATGTTGGCGGAGGTGCCTGAGGACGTGTTGGTTGGGGGCGGAACATCACCTCCGATCTGTACGAAGGCTAGAAGGCTATTCTGTATTTCTGAAATATTTAAACAACACCGAAAGGTCACCATAAACTATGAAACCATGCTTGAATGAAAGGGTTCAGGCATAGTCAACGGTATTTACTGCGAACTCCTCGGAGTTAGACCCCCGCTCCACTAAGCAGACCAACGACCGGCTTGTGAAGCCGAAATGGCGTGCATAGCGTGAAGGGGTGAAGTGCGCACGAAGTAGGCAGGTCCACAGCCTGGGAGTATGAAATCAATTTGCTTGTTCCTACTAGCTTCTTGTTACTACTAGTAAGTCACTTGTTACTAGTAGCTTATTGGTTCTACTTGCAAAAAAGAACATGTAATCACTTCAGATCTGACTACAGTTGCGTTCACGATTTCTTGCTTTGATCGCGTGCAAGATTCGTGTCCTCAAGTCAGAAGACGACGCAGTATGTTCAAACGTCTTTTTTCCCTCCTCGTAGAATGCCTGCAGCACAACAAGATTGTGATAAAGAAAGGTAATCAAAACACTTCTTGTGTCTTCTTGTTGTGATGTATGGGTTTCGCTGTGTGGCTGACTCGCGTAAGCGCAGGTGCACAACCACAGGCAGACTGCGATGGGTAGGGAGAGATAGGCCTCGGCAGTCCCGCTGTGTCCACAGGTGCGTCATGGTTCCTTGCAATGGCACAGAACGGATCTTACTTCGCACGGAAGGTGTTGCCAGGTCTTGTAATGAGGTTCAAGCCTTGGGGGTATTTTCGACTGGACTCATTCAGGTTGTGTGACTCATGGTCTTGTATTTTATCGAAACCTCACGAAGCCTTGGTTTGTGGTTCAACGCAAGTTCTCGCATTTGCCATGCAATTTCCATGTCATGCACTGAACCCATGCACGACCGTTCGCACGAGTCATGGCACCGAGTCATCGCCCCCCTGTTGTGCGTCTCAACCTGGGGGTGGGGCAAAACATGTCAAAAGCCGGAGCACCTATCCTCCCAATCATGGAAGCGGACCATCCCCTGTTTGTAAAGGAATATGGTCTTTCCAGTAGTCTTCCGTTTCAGGGAGGGTACTGGTAGGTTGACCTGGTCTCCTGGTGCACCCACAGCCACCTCAGTACATACTGCAGCTACATGCCATCACAGTACATGGTTTATATCATGGAGGACACCATCGCCAAGGAATCCACCAGTTCCCGTGTTTCTACGCCTCCCCATGCCATTGGCTCCCGTGCTTCGCCAGGGAATCCCCTCCCGAAGTGGTCTTTGCTGCCCTGGCCGCCGCGGAGATCTTCGCAGCGGAGACCTCGACCGGCGCCCCGCTACGGCGCTCGGCTGGGGACCGGCGGAACCAGGTGGGGCGTGGGGCGTGGGACGTGGGAAACCAAAAAGGTGCAGGTGCCAAAGAGGTCTGAGATGTTCTTGCAGGTTTTAAGTCTTTTTGATGTAGGATTGACACAATCAATAGATACCAACAATAGATTTACAATGTTTAGCATGGACGCAAGGAGTGCGATGTTCAACCAAGTGAACGAATTCAGACTTCCCGATGAGTATATTGTTGACACCAGATTTGCTCAATGCATTGTTTGTGGACAACGTGTGAACGTAACCGATCAATTCACAGCCAGCAGGGTTTGGCTGAGGTTTGCACCAAAGACCTTAGAAGAGTGTGGTCTTTGGTCGGTTTTGCCCTTGGAAAGAGGCTGCAGACTTTTGATCGAGACACGCTGCCAGTGCCACTTTCTACGTTGAATATCAGCCACCGTCACACGGTCAAATTCATGCAAGAACTTGTCGTTCCCAATGCGAATTGGCTCATCACTCGTTATGTTCCATGTCTAGGTATATTCTTTGGCATTTCTTTACAGTCTACAACTGCTCCAATTCAGCAGGTTCCGGAGACCTAGAAAACAATCCATCCGGCAGTATCTACCGACTTGGTCAGCGTCATCAGGCTGCTGCGCTCCATCTGGCTGCCTCGGCACACATGTGGCCTGGCCGATCCGATCCGGGCTTGGACACCTGCGATGGACAAGCTACGGACATTCCAGTCCAACAGCTTAAACCGTTGCAGGCCAAGTTGAAGGCCTATTTTAGAACATACCTGTGTAGTGGTCAAAATCATGTGACGCCCATGATCGCCAATGCCTTCTTTTTGAACCCCCTTTCTTCTCGAAAAAAACATACTCTGTATATAAACTCTACTTTGAAGACATGTTCTTTAATCAACATATATGCTACAAATTTCGGCTAATTAATATATTCTACAACAAATGTTCTGAGCACGTGTGGTTGGGTTTCCCAGAAATCTAAGGACCTCATTATGGTTTAGTGCAACCACATGCCTCCTGAATGTGCAAGACTCATCAAAACTCTTGGATCTCTGTCCCAAGCCGTTTGAAGAGGGTAGTTGGACTTTGCAAAATGCCAGTTTTGCGGTGATCAGAGCTGTTCCCCTTCGAATCTGAGCTCTTTTTGTTCAAGAGCGGGGTGATCAGAGGGGCCTCCTTCACCGCTGGGAAGGGACAAGAGGGAATGCTCTCCTTCCGCCCTTCGCCGCACTTCGAGGTGCCGAACGCCCAACGTCGGAGCGCACTACGCACTGAGGAGCTCGGGCCAGGCCCAGCAGAGCCTTCCCTTGGCACAGCGTGCTCAGGCGCGAGGCGGCGCGATGCGGCGCGATGCGGCGCGAGGCGTGGCTGTAGAGCCTCCACGAGATGTGTTCGTTTCAACTCCTTTTCCCTTGGGCAAAACACACCCTTTGAGTGATTGTGATTTCATTGTCCATATATTGTAAGTCCCACACCATTCGGGCACTGAAGGGTTTGATTTCCGTGCTGATGCTGGTCACGGTTTCGCGCCAGGAGATCTTTCGATCCCTCCGTGAGCGGCATCGAGAGGCGGGGGATGGCGGGGATCTGGACACCGGCTGTGCCGGTGTCCGCAGCATCAGTGGTGGTACAACACCCGGAAGACCTGGGGATGTGACCCCTGGTAACGTGACTGGTATACTCCCTCCCCGGGGGGTTGAGGCGTGCAGCTAAGCTAGGTAGAGGTAGGTCAAGGGGTCGGTCGTGCCAATTCACCACAGCCATTTCACACTCCGAGCACCGGAGCCGGCGCGCAGGTGGTGGCTCGGGGTGTCGTGGTGGAAGCCTACCTGGCCTTGGGTGAGCGTGCCAAGGCGCGACGACCGACGTTTGGAATGGACCCGAAGTTGATGCGTGGCTGGTTGGTTTGGTGGTCAACCCAACTATAGAGTGGGTGGTACGGGTGGTTTGGCTTTTTCGTTGCTCTCCTCTACAAGTTCACGACTTGACCGCTTACAAAACGCCGAGATCGAAGCATTCTGTACCCTTACGAGCCTCCGCGCTGCGCAGATGCCATTTTTTGCGGTGAGCCTTTCACCCTTACGAGTCGAGACCTGACATCCAAGCAATTTTCTTCGGTTGACATGTCCAGCCCGCTCCATCCACTCCTCCAGTCTTGACGTCGATGGAGCTATGCTAAGGTGCTTGAATAGATGATCACCAGTTGTGGGTGGTCCTTCAATTTCAGGGTCCTTCAATTGCAGGGCGTGAAACAGTTATGCCTGTTAAGCATATTGAATCAAAAACATATACATATATAACAGAAAAAAACACCATGAAAACACTATTCTCTTTCGCAGCGGCTTCATCTCCGTTGTGGTTCCTTCGCGCAAAAAGAATGCGGTACGGTCAATTCCTGGTGCCGATCGACGACCGGTTTCTTCTGTCCACGAGAAATCGCTACCAGCAGTTCCGAGTTCGGTTGCCGACCTTGGAGGGCTAAGGGAAAGCCCATGATCCACTTCATCTAGAGACCAACAAAAGCCATGTTCCACATGGAACTGCTGGAACTGCTGGTGCCGGTTCGCCTTCTTCTTTCAGATTCGATAAATGGGCTGCAACAAAAAGATGTCGTGACTGTAATGAACGGCAGTTCGCTCAAGCGTGCTGCCAAGATTCACACACTCCACTGAGATGAGGAAATCAACAGTAACCAGCAGCTTCTTTCGCAGTGCGTCCGACGTCCATTTCACCACTGATTTGGATCACAGGAACTTGGCATGGCAACTTCTTGTTTGGTTCAGTGACTGCATGACGGCGCAGTACTCCACCTGCCACTCGGCCTGCCAGGCTGTCGCGCTGGCCTCCGAAGGGTTGGAGGCAGGGGATTCTGCGCAGGGGTCAGCTGAGTGAGTGATCTTCCGCGATTCCCAACATTCGGTGGTTTACAAAAGCAGTAGCACCCCTGCAACGGATCAGATTGACTATATAAATTATAAACAAATCCGAAGAACTCTTAATCATTTTGTTTTCAGGGTCGTGGTAAGACGCCTCGTCTTTTGGGATGCTCAAAGTGTCCTCAAGTCGGATATCCCCTGTCGACTGTGTGGGACCCTTCGGCCAACAAAGGAGTTGTCGAAATGGGCAACTCAAGTGGTCGTTTTCGCGCCCCCTGGACGGTCTTTTCGCTGACGAAATGGTCACAGATCGTCAATGGTCCCAAAAAGCTGCTCCTGCCGCCCTTCTGTTTCCATCTATTTCCAATCGATGTCTACAGCTTCCAGGAGTCATGGCACACGGAGCCCCAAACCAGGGTAGGTTGACCTCCTTAGTGGTCCATTCTGTTTATTTTTCTCTGGTCAATGTACAACGGTTTTGGCCCACACCCCATATGGCATTCATAGAATCGTCATGAATTGTCAAAGCTTGCAGTTCCGGTCGCGAAGCCTGGCCACGCTCGCCCGGTGCGCCACGTGGGGTATCCGCGCAGGAAGCGCGCCAGCGGCAAGACCATGTAAGCTACAGCGAGGCACCAATGGCACTTGCTGCTTGAGGGTTGCTGTGTGATTTCTATCCCTAGGGCTCCAACCACCTCCTGAGAAGATGGTTGGGGTGGGTGCCAGGGGGGTCTAACCACCTTCTGAGGATATGGTGGAGCCCTAGCGTATATTATTTGGAGGGTATTGACCCTGCAGAACGCAGGGAAGGATCCTTAGGGTTGTCCTTATAGGGATTCTTGTTAGGTATACGCTTCCCTGGCCACGGTCCTGGCGCCGGAAGCTTCGTTTCGTGAACCTCGGAATGCATCACTTTTGTGGATGTGATGTCGGTCATGTGGCACACCGCTTGAACGAGTGAAGAGGTAGTGTCGCACTCTCAACGATCATCAGACTCCATGCAGTTTGGCCAAAAGAACCATGGCTTCCAACCTCCAATCAACCTGAGGCCTCACAAAACCTGGTCACTCACAGGTCATCTCCTCGCTCCGATCGATCCGGCGCTCGGGCCACGTCCGGCAGGGCTCGCGCCAAGTGGCTGGGGCGCTCCTGGCAGAGGACCGCGCTGCGGAGGCGCAGCAGATGGCGCGACAGGCGCCTGGAGGCCAAGGTAAGGGCGAAGAAACTAGGGTTTTCTCAGAGGTTTCAGGTTCACGTCAAGAACTCTTGATGCTTTTTGAATGCACTGTGGTAGGGCCTGGACTTCTGCTTGTCAACCAATTTCGCTCTCACCCGGAAAGATAACACACAGTGGGTCAGACCACCAACATGACTTAAGTTGCTTGAGTTCTGGTCGGTCCTTTGAAGCGATCTGGCACTGGACTCCGGGGAGGCGCAGCCCAAAACCAGCAGGGACAGCCGTTCATTGGGACGCTCCGCACCGTGCGGGCGGGCTGAGGTGCAACGCGGCTGGGCGCTTGCGTGGTCGGAAGAGGTTTCAGAGCCAGGTGGGGGATGAGAGCCAAGCGGGGGATGGGAGGTGAAGGGGTGATTTCAAGCGCAGCATTTGTGAATTGTTTGAATTGTTTGATGATGGTGAGAAGCTTGAGGCCTGGCGTCATATATCCAAATGCAGCTTAATGGTTGACAAGCGACTAGATTAGCGGCGAGGAGCCCGAACCTTGCGATCAAATGCGACCAAGCACATGGCACATCGATATTGTTTTTGGATCTTTTTGGTGCGTTTACACATGTACCTTCAAGGCCTTCCCCGGCCCCCACTCCATAGGAGGAAAAGACGGAAAACAGATGAAAAGAGTTATATTACTGGGTCTAGGTCCCATTACCTGGGACAGTCGGTATATATATAAACGAATGTAAACGATTGTATATCACTATGTTTGGGACAAGGCCTGCAACTGAACCATCATCCATTGGGCCCTGGTAATGGGATATACCCAATGTATAACTATATTATTGTTCCTAGTAGCTTCTTGTTACTACCAGTAAGGAAGTGATCCGAGTGATCCGAAATCGAACTCTCACTAATTGTAAGGGCTTCGCCCGGGTGCCGCCGACCCCTTTTCAAGAGGAGGTGCTGACCGTAGCACTTCCTGTGGACGGCCGCAGGTCTATCTGCG